CGAGAAGTATCTCCAAGTTGTCGTACCAATAACTTGGAAAATATGGCATCCAAATGGCTTCAGTGAACTTGTAAAATGTTTTATAAAGGCAAGGAATGGTTTTCTTTGGATTGCACTTTCCACCTTTCTTCCTTTCTTAAGAAGTGATGTCCAAACTCTTCTGAGAAAACTGGAAAGGAGGAAAGAAAAAGACAGCAACTAGGATGTGGTTATTTGCTCTTGTTAGCACAGCTACACACTGCATGTCCTGAACCCGAGCTCTTTCTTGGCTTTCCCACTGCAGACCATGTCTCTATTGGAGGGCTTGGAGACAGCTTTTATGAGTATCTCATCAAATCGTGGCTGATGTCAGACAAGAAGGACTCTGAAGCAAAAAAGATGTATGATGATGCACTGGAGGTAAGGAGCAGGTTGGAGCGCTGGGTCTTTGGTGGGGGACGTCGTCCATCAGATTGTTTCTGCTGAGTGTTGTGTGCCTTTGGGTTCATCTGATATTCACTCCTCACCCGATCCACTGAGTCTCCTACGGTCTTGCTTTTCATCTCCTTAGGCAATAGAAAAGCATTTGGTCAAAAAATCTGCGGGAGGATTGACCTACATCGCCGAATGGAGGGGCGGCATCTTGGACCACAAAATGGGCCACCTGGCTTGCTTCTCTGGGGGCATGATAGCACTGGGAGCTGAGCATGGTGGAGAAGAGAGGAAGCAACACTACATGGATCTTGCTGCAGCAATTACAAACACATGTCATGAGTCCTACGCACGCTCAGGTAAACCTGCGGGCTGCCTGAAAACCATTAGCAAGGAAGAGTCTGCAGCTTGGGAGACTCCGTTTTCATGTGGCAGAGGGTTGCAGCAGAGTTTGGTGCATCAGCAACATCTTCCTCCCTCCTTCTGATTTTCACTTTTTTTTTATCTAGAAGAGAAAACTGTATGTTGCATAGCAGACAGCTGGAACAGAGGGAGAGACAGATGTGTGCCCTTGTGGCAGAGCTGGGAGATGAAGCCAGAACTGAATTGTAGGCCTGCCTCCCAGAACAGTCCCAGAACAGCCCCAGACCTAACCTTCTCCCAGCAAGACTACAGTTCAAGTCTGTCCTTTCACATCCCTGTGCAAACAAAAATAGGAGATTAACAGTGATTAACTGCAAGGTGTCCCAGTATATGGAGCAGAGCAGCTGAGAAGACCAGCAGGAGACCTGCAGCTGCTGATAGGAACTGGAAAAATGAAATTACTTATCCCTTCCCTGCTGTTTAAGGAGAGACTGGTTAAGTCTTTCATTTTCACAAGTCCAGTACAATGTATTTCACCTACACAGTGTGCTTATCAGTCAGTGCTTTGGGAGAGCAGTGACTGGCAATGAATGAGAGACTGGGTAAATTTTCTGCCTACAGGGCTTTCAGCAAGATAAGCTTGCTTTGGACTCTACTCCTTTCTTTGAAAGCATCTCTGTAGCTCTTCTGAGCCTGCAGGCAGAAAAGCAGCAGTCACCTTTCCAAGACCTTGTCAAACACATCCTGTCTGCACTGTTTGCAAAGATTGTTTCACCAAATCAGCACGACTGTATTGGCAGTTGTGGTCTGGCACGCTTGCCTAACAAGCTTTAGGTTAACCTGAAATTATATTTGCAAATAAGGCAGGTGGTTTATTTTTTTTTAGTGGTCTTTTTTTTTCCCCCCAGCACTTAGAGAAATAAAGCAAATCACCCGAACTAAAAATCCTCTGGCTGTGAGTGCCTGCAGCCAATTTTCACCTTTTAACAGTATCCATCAGCATAAAAAGGACAATGGCAGGCCTGCCCACACTGATTACAGTGCTGTCATCTCTGCAGGCTCATTGTGTGCAGAGTGTCTGTGCACCAGCTCTCAGCAAATAGCACAACTAGCAGACACCATTAGATCCCCGTGTAGATAGGAGGGCCCAGAGAAAGCGTGCAAAATATGTATAAAAATGAAATGACTGCCTGAAACACAGCCATGTGTAAGTGTATAGGTGCAGCAAGAGAAGCCTGATGTGGCATGATGATATAAGTAGGTCTTGAAGGCATGATTTGAATAGTAGATGATGTTTGTGAGAGATTGAGAGCTTTGCATAAGGGGCACTCGAAAAAAATCAAGGTACTTGCAATGTTTTATTCATGAAATATCGGTGAAATGGATTAAGCTTTCCCTATCCACATGATGTCCTTTTTCTAAGGCTGTCAGTAGACAAGAAAGAAAGGTAGAGGGAGTGGTTGCAGGTCCCAGGTGCTTCCCCTTATAGCTTCCATGCACCAGTGCTGTTGAAGTGTCTCAATCTGCTCTACTGGTGACTGTGAAACAACAGCTCTCCAGTCTGGGAGCAGTGCATCAGTGTCTCAGTGGTGGCAGGTCCAGTCACAGGGTTTGGCTTTTCTCTTTGAAATGCTCAGCCTCTGTATGCTCTCACCTGGATCCTGACTTGTTGGCAGTGATGAACTCTGCTCTCTCCCCTCAAATCTGGTCCAGGTCTTTGCTTTTTCAGTTGTATTCATCCTCAGAAACACTTCATCCTCAGCTTAAATGGTAGCCAGACTGTGAGCAGTAACTCTGACGCGTGTACACAGGCGTGATTGATCTTCTCTACTGACCTCATGCAAGCCCGAGTCAAATGTCTGCCTCCTGAACAGCATAAAAGCACCTGAAGTCTGTTTACTTGCTTGCTCAAACTGATTATTACTGTGTGTGATTTTGTTTAGATACCAAACTTGGCCCTGAAGCCTTTCGTTTTGATGCTGGGACCGAAGCCATGGCAACCAGACTCAGCGAGCGCTACTACATCCTGCGCCCAGAAGTGGTGGAAAGCTACGTGTACATGTGGAGGCTGACACACGATGTCAAGTACAGGCAGTGGGGCTGGGAGGTCGTGAAGGTATGGCTGGAAAACTCCCTTTAGGCTGCTGGATTCTGACAAGAATCTCTCCTTCAAGTTCAGGAAAAAGAGTAGAAGTTACTTAAAACGGGAGGGACTGAGAAACATTTGCAGTGGGGCAGAAGTAAGCAAAAGAGCTCAATTCAGTGCAGCTTCTTTGCTGGTTGTAGCAAATGTAATCAGTCAAAGCTGCAGAGGTTCATGGATAAGAGTGCTGCAGCCAGCAAAACCTGATGTTGATGTGACAGCTTTCTGCAAAAAGGAGTCAGCCTTGTATCTGGAGTGCTCTGAACCATTGGTTTCACCAGGGAAAATCAGCAAACCTGGCTTTGCTCTTTGTCTTATTGTCTTCTTCCCTCTACAACTTCCCAACCAGAAAGTCCTTCACCTCTTCCTAGCTCGTGCCCTGCGTTGTAGCAGGGACTGCATTTCAGTGGCAGAACCATCATTCATCTGGTGCCCTGGAAAAGAGACTCTGCAGGCAGCTGGAGTTGCCACTTGAGATCTGTTTTTGTTGTGTGTAATGTCAAGGTCAATCAGTCACCCAGCTGAGGCAGTTTATGTTTCTCTTGCTATTGCATTAGAGCTAGCTTTATTCCTGCAGGCTGGAGTAACCACCAGTTAACTTCAGTGACAGGCATAAGCTGCTACAAACTCTGAATTTGATTTGTAAAGTGGACTTTCAGTGCAGCCCATGATTAACGTGTTGGTCCGTGCTGTCGCGTGTTACTGAGATTTCTTTTCCTTTCTCAGGCTCTGGAAAAACACTGCAGAGTAGAGGCTGGTTTTTCTGGCATCCGAGATGTTTACACCACGGTCCCAACCCATGACAACATGCAACAGAGTTTTTTCCTTGCAGAGACTCTGAAGTAAGTCTGGTATCACAAAGGTCATGTCAGAATACCACAGTTCTTGCAAGATCGACAATTTTGCCAGCATAAATCTCTATTAAGAAAAGATTTTAACTTTCTGTGGGGAAATTTGAGCCAGGGATACGGGCATGGCAAAGCTTTAGTAGCTTCCTCATGTCCAGCTATTGCTTTAGAGGCAGTCTGCAGGACTCGTATGTGCTAGGTTTAAAGAACTCTTCCTGCCATTCGAGCTATTCTGAAAGGAGTGGAAGCTGTGATGGTTTAAGTGGCAGCTGTCCCCTCAGTCAGCTTAGTGCCCTGCACAAAGGGGAGGTTTGACCGTGGCGTGGGTTTGCTGTTCCTTTGCTGCAGATCTGCCTCTGGTGGTGGCTTGAGGTAGCGTTTGTGGGGTGGCTGAGCACAGGTGCTCGCACCATTGTGCTGTGCTTCCTCCGGGAATGGCAGCTTTCAGCAAGAGAGTGAAGTGTGCTGTCAGGAAAGCTGTCACCACGCACTCTGGGAGCAGCAGCCCCATCGCATTCTGGCTCTCTTGCGCATGCTTAGCGTCCCACCCGAGCTCCTTTTAATCTCCCTTTGTGTCCATCTTCTTCCCCTTGCCCTGATGGCTGCAGGTACCTCTATCTTCTGTTCTGTGAAGATGACGTGCTGTCTCTGGATGACTGGGTGTTCAACACAGAGGCTCACCCCCTGCCAGTCAACCACTCAAACTTTAAAGCAAGCGTGCAATAGTGAGGCCATTGCCCAGCACCCTGCTCCCACAACATCAGCAGGTTACTGCATTTCCTTTCCATTAAAGGAATTTGTGTTGTTCCTGAAATGGTATTTTGGGGCACTAGTCCAATTCCGGACAGTATTCTATTGGGAAGATGAAACCATGAAGTAAGCACCTTATTTTCCTCTGTGAGGAGCTCTAATAGCCTGATAATGAGATGTTTATTCTGGGCCATACTGAACACAGTTCATAGACATTCCTTTCTACAGAGAATTTATATGAAATCCACTGACTTTGCTTTATAGTGGCCAAAGGACTGGAAGTTTTCCATAGAACAGACCTCCCCACAACACACACACGCTCCTCCTCTCATTTTTTGTTTCATTTTTGCCTTTTATACGCCGTTGGATTTATCACCTTTCTAATTAACAGTTTTCAATAGACTGTGCTTTCTAAGTGGTGTCAAAACTGTAACTGAAGCAAAACCTGTCAGCAAAATTCTTTATCCTGATGTATTTTTATACTCTTTTTTTTTCCTGTGTTCTTAAAACACATTTACTACACATCATATCTCATTTAACTCTCCATTATCATTTTTGTGCTTTTCTACTTTTATTTAGAACTAAGTGTTACGAATCACTTGTAATAATTCCACTGCTGTAATAGTCAAATCTGTGAAATGGAATATAAGTCTTGTAAAATAAAAAGCATTTCTGGGTTGATCCTACTTTAAAGCCATATGCCAAAGACTTGTTACATTGCTTGTTGAGATGGCTGACAATACTGGTTGGTTTCAGGGATGTTTCTCCAGATCTGTTGATTTCCAGTGTTATCTAACCAGAATATGGACAGCAGTTCCCATCTGCACCGCTCTTCAATTGCTTGTTTGCTGTCTGCTATCAGTTAGCAGGAGTTCTACTTGATACCTTATTTTCTAGCAAAAAAATAAATAATCCCCAGGTAAGTTGGCTTCTGGAATGAAGTAATAGGAGAAAAAGTGAGTAAAAAATTGAAGCCAGATTGTTCAGCTTGTCCCTGCTGTTCACCACGTGTGTCTTCAGTGTGAGACTGAGCAGAAGATGGCTGTGCAGAGTCCCTGGGAGCCCTTGCTTAGCAGTTTGGGGCTGGGTGTGGGATGCTTGCTCCTGCCTGTCTTTCTTCTGGCCCCTGCAAAGCTGCACAGCCCTCCGAAGTTGGAGCGTTTTCCCCCATTTGAAGTTGCTTGGAGCAAGTTGTGGGAACAAAAGATGTGTTTTGAAATCCATGGTTGTGAATTGCCCAGGAGAAATAAGGATATCAGATATTATCTCTGTTCCTTGGGTAATAGTGTGGACTGGCAAGCTTGGCCTAGAGGAATGGTTATTGGTAAATAAACATCTTGGGAATTAATTGTCTTATCTGTGGGATTTGATTTTTGGGAAGTCAGCTGAGCCCAGATAACATTTATAATGGATCTAGGGAATTCCATACATTAAAACATGTGCTCTTGGAGCCTCTCACAACAGTGTTAGGTAAAACACAGCTCCCCGTAGGGTATTTCTGGCTTCCTTTAGGAACAGATCCTTGGTGCAGGGTTAAAACTGCTCTTCTCTTCCACATAAGTGAGCAGGGTTGGTATCAGTAAAGTCGCACACACTTAGGGAGGAAAGCTGCTGCTTTGTTGCAGTTCAGTGGCTGTATTGGCAATGAGAGTTTCCTCAGCTCAGGCCTGTTGATGTAAAGCTTACTGATGGCTGTTTGCTTACCACGACACTCGTGTGGAGGTTGGCACCAGTCACAAAAAAAATAAATAAAAGCTGTTTGTTGCAAACATCCTTAGAATTCATCCTTAGCATTTCCACTCCTGCAGACTGCGGTTCTGCAGGTACCTCTGGCCCTGCTTACAGTCAGCCACTCAAGTCAGTGGATTAATCACAGGCATTGCATTAAGCGTGCCTGCGTTTAGCAGGAAGAAAGACTGGTTCCAAGGATCAGCTCTGTTCTAAGGCACGGCCCTGAGCCACAACTGGGATTCTTCTGCCCTACAGCGATGCAGGTAATGGAAATGTTTGCCTCGGTGCTGTTCTGAAATGCTTCTGCTCTCTGCTCACTCCTTGGTGTGCCCTGAGCCTTGGATGCTTGCAGGACCCTCAGTTCTGGGCTTTCAGCTCTTATCCTGCCCCCACTCCATGTGCTTCCCACTAGGTAGGAGTGGGAGGATTTTTTGTGTTTGTCCACATGGGAAACCCCTCGATATTCATACTTCAAGTAGATTAATGGGGTGTTATGCACGAACCAGAGATCTCACTCTAAATGTCTAACAGAAACCATGTGGGAAGAGAGGTGTCTTTGGGCTGCTTTCCTGCCTTCTGCTTTCATGCCCCTCGTTGGGTGCATGATTTGGCTGTGCTTTAATGAGTGTGGTGGGGATTGGTTAATGGTCGGACTGCATGATCCTAAGGGTGTTTTCCAACCATTGTGATTCTGTGATTCAGTTATGTTGTTGATATGTGGTGTTTTGTACTTTAGAGTCACCTTAGCAGGAAATGTATCAGCCCAGGTTCTTTCCTATTTCCTCTCTTGCATTCAGATTCAGGAACTGAGATGATTGTGTTGACTTTCAGCATCAGAACGTGATCCTGGTTTATGTCTGTAGGGAATGTCCTTTAAATGGAGTTCTGATGAAAGCTCCATCACGTGCTGGAGATGAAAACTAGTAACTGGTAGAATAGCTGGCTGTTGCCAATTGACTGTACAGAGGAATAAGACAAAGCAAACCAGAAAATAAATGCATATCTGATTGTTTCATGTGTGATGCATTGTAACCAGAGCTAGCAGTTACAAAGTTCCAGCTGTTACTTCTCACTGCATTGGGTCTGTGGCTTCATTCTGTATGGAGACAGGTGATTAGAATGGAATCAGGAATGCTTTCAATAAGGATTGTCAATGCATTTTGCTGTTGTCAATGCTGTTGACTAGAGAGCCCATGTGAGTGACTTGCTGGAATGGATTGAAAATGAAAGCGAGGAATGCAAGCACATGGGAATTTGGGAGGTGTTGGCTCACACTCTTCTACTTGTGAAATGTCTGAACCAAACTTCACACTGCAGCTTCACTGCCCATTCCTTTCCTAGGGTGAAATGTGTTTCCCACGTCTGCCTGTGCAGTTCTGTGTCACACTGCATCTACCGTGAGACGCAAGCTGCAATAAACGCATCTCAGTAATTCTTATTCCCTTTGAGAGGCCCCATGTGAAGCCAGACTTCAATGCTCCCCGTTCCTTCCTGCTTTCCAAAGGATGTTTTGGGCTGCAGGCTGACCAGCACTCACTGCCTCAGGGGCTGTTCTGTTTCCAGGCACTTTGTCCATCTGTGGGCAGAGCTCCGACTTTAATGCTGCCTTCCATTACGTAAGGATCGCTTTGACTTTAGAACAGGCCAAGTTTCAGGCTATGGGAACGAGGCCATACATTTAAACGAGGACAGGGTTTCTCTCAGATCATGCCACTCTAGAACATGGAGGTGCTCTGTGTGTACGGAAAACCTGTTCTACTCCAAAAAAGCTCAATACAAGCTTTCCATTTCTCTACCAAGCTCTTCCTTTTTTCTTACTTTTGTCTGGACTCTCCCTGCTGGGAGCAGAGGAATGCAGGACAGTATTTTCCTGCTGGGTGAATTTTCATGATGCAAATCTTCCTCGTTATTTCTCTATCAGGAGGATTTCCTTTGAAACAAGGGTGCCTGGGTGGGCCGCAGATGTCTGAATATTTGAAATTCCTCCTCAGCACTGTAATGTGTGATCTCAAGAACCAGCAGCACAGAGCCAGAAGTTGGTTTTGTTCTCCTTTGAGGAGAATTGGTTCCCAGCAGATGCCCTGAATTACTTCACCTTTTGTCTTTCATTCTTCTTCCTACCAAATAATTCAACTCTGTCATTTTTTATATGCTTGCTGATGATGCTGGAAATGGTTCAGCTATAAAATGAGCCTCTCTGCTTCTTATCTACAAGATACCATTTTGGCTCTGCCAGCCACTCCATCAGGTCTCCTTTTCCATCTCCAGGGTCTGTCATTTCATGTCACCTCTTGCTCATTTCCCAGACACTCAGGTATATTTATCCTGTTTCAGAGCTGTCTCATCCTGTTATACTTTATGCTCTAAAAGCACTTGCTAGGTTATTTGAGGTAAACTAAAGCTCTCTACGCCTCTCTGTCCAACCTGGAGAGTCACGGAAAGTTTAAAGCACAGCTTCTTAACTGGAGACCAACTCAATCAGCATCGTCTCTATTCCAATCCATTATTCATTCAGTGCTTTGTTAATTCCATTCTTCCCATTTCTTCCCCATGGCCCCCAAGCTGTGCTCTTAGACTGATGGGGCAGAAAACAGTGATAGAGTTTTGTGAACACTTTTTTTTCTATAGGGTGACAGAAGGAGCCCTCTGCTCCCTCCCTCTGCCATGCAGATGTAACAGCACTGATTGGAGCGGTAGATAATCTCTGTTTATGTGTTACTGGGTGCCCCATTCTAGTGCACTGTGTTTAGAATAGAATAGTTTCAGTTGGACTCAATAATCTTTGTTGGTAGGTCCCTTCCAGCTGGCAGGCTACCCTGGAACTGAACCAAAGTTAAATTACGTTGAAGGGCGTTCTCCAAATGCCTCTTAATCGTGGACAGCCATCTCTCTATGAAGTCAGTTCTGGTATCTAACTACCCTCATAGTAAGTAAGTTATTCCTGATGTCCAATCTGAACCTCTCCTAACACAGCTTTGTGCCATTGCTATGCATCCTGCTGCTGATAACAGGGAGGAAAGGTGAATGCTTCCCTTCCTCACAGAGTTGTGGAGAGCAGTGAGGTGATTCCTCAACCTCTCCTGCAAGCTTCACACACATTGTCCTCAGATGCTTCTCATAGGACATTCATTCCTACCCTTTTACCAGCTTTGTTGTGTTCCTCTGGACACATGCAAGCATCTTAAAACCCTCTTTAAATTGAGAACAGCACACAGTATTCTAAGTGAGGCCAGACCAATGGTAAATATGTGAGAATCTCCTCTTGAGTGGCTGGTTGTGCTGTGTTTAATGCACCCCAGAATGCATAGGTTCACACTGAGACTGCTGTCAACCAGCTCCCCAGCCACTTATCTCCCAGTCCAAACCTGTGTGCAGCACTACTCTGTTCCTATGAAAACACAGTGCTTTTTTTGCTGGTCCTGGGGATTTCTCACAACTCCACACTCATGGCTTTTGTTCAGGGTTACCGGCCTCTTCCTTGAGCAGCTCACACTGCCTTCTTCATGGCTTTCAGTCTCGCTCTCTAACCAAAACTCTCCTTAGACAGAAATGATTAGGAAGGCTTACGAAACAGCAAAAGCTTCACAAGATTAAATGCTACTGCTTCCTGCTGCCCTTAGGGAGCTCAACCAACCTGCAGTGCTAACCCTGCAGCACCAAAACACAGCACTAAATCTTCCTGAGCAATGAAGATTTCAGTGCAGTGCAGGACTGCACGTAGGGAAGAGCAGGAGATGACTGATAGGGAAAAGATTAAAATGACTAAATATATACCTCTTGGCCAATCGAGTGCTAAGGAGCAGTGTGACAACCACCCAGAGGAGCACAAAGAACTCAGTGTGTCAAAGTTTGTGGTGTCACTGATGTCCGTAACAAGGGTGAGGGTGGTGGGAAGGACCCGAAGAAGACCGAGGTGCAAGGAGCAGGGATGGCAGCAGCTCCATTCAGACTGCAGGTGAGAATTGTCCTGTGGCTGCAAAGTGACCGAGCCATTACGGCCATGGGCCTTCAATCCCTGTGAAAGCAACGCAAGTGAAACTTGTACCGACTGTTAAAAGGGACAGGAGCACAGGTTTTATGATGAGCAGCTGTGGAAATCGGGATGGGTCAGGTTGGAAAAGAGGAGGCTGAGGGCAGAGCTTGTATCCTCACTATCTGTAAGGGGATTGCAGCGGGAGCAGGGCTGGGCTCTTATGCTGACAGGACACGGCCTCGAGTGTCACCAGGGGAGGTTTAGGTTGGATATCAGGAAAATCTTTACAGAAAGGGTTGTGGGCACCGGAACGGGCGCCCCAGGGAGGCGGTGGAGTCACCGTCCCGGACGCGTTCAAAATCCGTCTGGATGCGGTGCTCTGGGACACGGCTTAGCGGAGCGCCGTTCGGGTTACGTACGGTTAGGCTGCGGTTGGATCCGATCATCCGGAAGGTGTTTTCCAACCTGAGCAACCCGACAAAGCACAGCAGCTGCCAAGCACAAAGTTCCGTTTTTCCCTCTCACCCCCTCGGGGCCTCGCGCTGCGGGCGGAGCCCTTCCCTCAGCCCGGCTCCTCCCGCCGCGGCCATGGCGGAGCGGCGCCGCTGAGCGCTCGGCCCATGGCGGTTCCCGGCGCGGCGCCGTCGCGGCTGGCGCTGGCCCTGGCCGCCTTGGCAGCGCTGGCCGCCGTGAAGTATTACCGAGACGCCGAGGCCGCCCGGCAGCAGGTAACGGGACGGCGGGTCGGGCCGCTTCGGAAATGGAGGGCGGAGCGCATCCGCGATGGGGCTGAGGGGAAAGCGAGGCTTCGGTTGGCCGCCCCGCAGCTGTGGTGGGAGCTGAGCGAAGCGGGCTGAGGGGCGCTTGGACTGGAGTGAGCGAGCTGCGGGGCTGGGGGGTCCGCGATGGGGGAGAGTGGGACGTATGAAGGCCATAATGGGACTGAGGGGTCGTCGTGGGGCTGAGGTGGCATTCATACAGTGAGGTGGCCCTCATTGGGATGAGGGGGCCCTCATTGGGATGAGGGGGCCCTCATTGGGATGAGGGGGCCCTCATTGGGATGAGGGGGCCCTCATTGGGATGAGGGGGCCCTCATTGGGATGAGGGGGCCCTCATTGGGATGAGGGGGCCCTCATTGGGATGAGGGGGCCCTCATTGGGATGAGGGGGCCCTCATTGGGATGAGGGGGCCCTCATTGGGATGAGGGGGCCCTCATTGGGATGAGGGGGCCCTCATGGTGCTGACGTGACATTCACACAGCTAAGGCGGCCATCATAAGGCTGAGGGGTCCATCACAGCGCTGAGGTGGTCATCAATGGGCAGAAGGGTGCATCATCGGGATGAGGGGGCCATCATTGGGATGAGGGGGCCATCATTGGGATGAAGGGGCCATCATTGGGATGAGGGGGCCATCATTGGGATGAGGGGGCCATCATGGTGCTGACGTGACATTCGCACAGCTGAGGCCATCACGAGGTTGAGGATCCATCACTGCCCTTCAGTTCAAGGACAGGGAACTGCTTGAGAGAGTCCAGCGCAGAGCCACGACAGTGATGAAGGGAGTGGAGCATCTCCCTTAGGAGGAAAGGCGGAGGGAGACGGGTCTCTTTAGCTTGATGGAAGCTGAGGGGTGACCTCACTGATGTTGATAAATGTGTAAAGGGCGTCAGGAGGATGGAGCCAGGCTCTTCTCAGTGACATGCAGTGATGGGACAAGGGATGCAAGCTGGAACATAGGAGGTTCCACATAAAGACAAGAAAAAAAACTTCATCATAGTAAGGTTAATATCAGGATGCCCAGAGATACTGTGGGGTCTCCTTCTCTGGAAACATTTAAAACCCATCTGGGTGCATTCCTGTGTGACCTGATCCAGGTGCTCCTGCTCTCACAAGGAGATTGCACTAGATGATCTTTTGAGGTCCCTTCCAATCCCTGGCATTCTGTGGTTCTATGATCACAGTGCTGAGGCCTCCATCATGGGGCTGAGAAGGCCGCTGTGGTAGAGATGGTCACCAGGGTGATGGCAATGGTTGCCATGCTGAGGTGCTGTTGGCTCCCAGTGGGCTGTGAAGGCAGCCAGGGGTTGGTGGCACTGGAATCAGCGTTGTGGCAGGTTGTGACTGGGCAGTGCTGGAGATCAGAGAAAAAGTGAACAGGACGAAGCTTTTAACTTTTCTTCAGCTTGCTTAAAGCACGTGGTTCTGGTTATTGGAGTATGCTCTCCATTCTTATGGGCTGATAGACGGTAACGTCTTAACACCTGGCACCCACATTCCCTTCCTCATATTCTGCTGCCTTCGCTGCTCAGAAATGTTCTGCATGTGTGGGGCATAACTGATCCTCCATAACTGATCCTCTTTCTGCCTCCAGCTCTGTTAAGCAAATTATCATGTCGTTTTCCTAAGCTACAGCAGCAGGTGGTCTCACCAGCTCAAATCGTTGTTGCTCATTTGCCTTCCATCCCTTGAGGTCCGTCTCTGTGAAGTGCAAAAGAAGAGGGAGGCTCTGAAAGATTCATCAGCAGGGAATCGTCGATGGGCTTAGGATGCAGCCCGTCTCGTTAGAGCTTAGCACACAGCCTGGATGGCCTCCTGTGCAGAGGAGGTTGCCACTGTGCACAGCCTGTGCACTTTGCACTGTAAGGATGGTGCACTGTAAGGATGTTGCCATGCCCAAGCAAGCCCTGGAGCCTGGTCCAGCACTTCATGACATAACCCTGTCCCCTGGCTCTCAGCTAACAGGGCTCAGGAAAACGTTATGTAGAGCCCCGTGTTTGTTTGTCCCCATTCATCTGGGGAATAAAGGTGTGGTTTTGGCTTTAGAAACATGGGGATTCCTGAATGGGTTGCTCCTCTCAGTAGATAAATAACTCCCATGTTTCTTTACTCCTATTTGCAGCTGCGTAGTTCCTATGCGCTCTTCTCCACATTCCATGTTCTGTATTATTGCCTTTATTCAGTCATGTCTGAGTCCAGATCTCTGGTTTGTATTCCAGTATCTTTACTTTTTTATCTGCTCAGTCCTGAAACCACCCTGGGAGGCTCTTAAGTGCTTCTGTTGCTGCAGCTGATGGGAGCACAGCCTTCTGGGCTGCATTACTGCTGCTTCTGACTGGCAGGTAACAGACAGGAAAATAAACTAGTTCAGGAGCTGTGGGGATGGTAATGGTGCAGCAAACAATAAACAATTGAACAGCAGATGACAGTATTTGTCCTTTAGGTGTTCATTGGTGTGGCAGGGGAAGCTGCCCCAAAATGAGAGGCCAGGTGGGATCTGCTGGCTGTGAGTGATGCCACTGGTCTGTCTTGCTGTCCTTTCCTTCACAGCAATGTGGAGCTCTCTCGCCCTGCCTGCAAGTTGTTGTTTTTCCATCAGTAACAAATGCTGCAGAGTGGAAAAGTCCATCAGAATCTAGCCTTTCTGGGGCCATTTCAAGTGAGACTTCGCATTTCAATGCGTGTCATTGCTGTTTGCCATTGGGGCACCTTCATGTGGGCTTTGCAGGCTGTCCCACCAAGTGTTACAGAGGGAGAGACTGAGGCACAGGGATCTTACAGGAGTGTCTGGAGGAGGTGGTCGAGTTGTGGTTCCTGATGTACGGCTGGGTAGTGATACCTGTGGAGCAAGGAGCCAAAATCTTAGCCCAGTCATGACACAGGAGGCAAAATCCTGCCAAGGGATGTTAATCTGTTCGTTTCATCACTGCTTGTGGTCTGGAATGAATGCAAATTAACTCTGAAGCTGAGAGCGCCGCGAATGAGCCTCTGGGAGGGGTAGGGGTGATCCTCGCTTCCCCTTTCTTCCCATTGCAGGAGGTGGCGCTGAAGTCTTTGGGCAGTGAGGGGCTGTTTCTCTTTTCTTCTCTGGACACCAACAACGATCTGTACCTCAGCCCAGAGGAGTTCAAGCCGATAGCTGAGAAGCTGACAGGTGCGTTCCTGCCCGCCGCGCGGAGCTCGCTCTGCACACACTGAGCAGAAGCAATTTTGAGGGACGTCTTTATTTTTTTTTCTGGGTGCTGTTTTGGATCTTGCTTACATGAAGAGAGACTGCTCAGGGAAAGGCTTGAGCATTAGATGCTACTTTCACAAAGTTCAGTTTTTATAAGGCTAAAGGTCCCGTTTCTGGCCTAGCAGAGCATGTAAGTTACTTTGTCTGGAGCTTATAGGAGATTTGGGATGGATAAATGCAACAAATACAGCTCAGCCCAGGCTAGGCCAATACTGTTAGTGAATCCTATTTCAATCATATGCTTCTCTTGCTGCAGCATTCTCTCTCATAGCAGCTGTGAGAGGTCGTGTTTGGAGCTGTATCAGCACATAGCAAATGTCTCTTGGTGGTGCCAAGCAGGGGGAAGCGTGGTGATGATAACATCCAGCAGAACTTAACAGTACAATTGAAATGCACAGAGTTGCTTGCTTATGTTTAATGAATTGACTGAAGCACGTGTCTTTTCCCTCCTAGATTAGATGAGAGTGTTTAACAGCCGTGGAGTTTAAAGTGTCATCCACTGGAAGAAGGGCTCCCCTTTAAGTCATGTAGGAAAAGCCAGGTGTGGCTGCAAGTTCTGGTGGGTTCCCCATTGCACGCAGTGTAGTGACTGCTGGGGAGCTCCCAAATTAGCCAGGAAAAATGTATAATCACTTCACCATGGTTTAAGAGGGGAGGGAGGGGAAACAGCTGCTTTAATTCCTGTCTCCTTGTCTAGGAATTACTCCAGTCTCAGACTTTGAAGAGGATGTGCCTGATCCAAACGGGGAGACGTTGTCCGTTGTGGCCAAATTCCAGCCTTTGGTCATGGAAACGATGACGAAGAGCAAAGATGGTTTCTTGGGAGTATGTATCCTGCAGGATGTGTAGGGCCAGAAATACCAGTGTAACCATGTACTGTGGGCTGGTAGCATCTCCAGGAATGAGCACAGACAGTCAGCATCTTCTCTCAGTTCAGTGCCACCCGCAGACTCACTCAGTTAGCTTCAAGTCCTGCACCCAAGTCAGTGATTGAAACAATGGGAACTGGCCCTAAAATGGAGCCCTGTGGAACTCCACCAGTGATTGACCACCAGCCCGGTGTGACCCCATTTCCTTGAGCCCTTTGTCAGCCACTTGTTCACCCATCACGTTGTTTTTGTCCAGCTGTGTGCTTTGACCAGGAAGCTTGCAGCTTTCTGCAGTGTTGTACTGTGTTCAGTGCATTCAGCCCCACTGTGTCCCAAGGAATGAATGCTCTGCTCTTCCTGGGAAGCTTGAAGCAGACACCAGAGGTGGCTCCACCTCAAGCAGTGATGTTGTGCCCTGTTCACTGCCTCCCATTTTGCTCACGCAGTTGAAAGCTGACAGAACTATTTGATGGTGTTCGGGGTGGTGCAAAGAATTGAAAATATGATTATTATTATTTTTTCTTTCTCCTCTTAAGCACAGTTACATCCATCAGCATTGCTGTGTGTGTGAGGGCTGTAGGCTGGGCTCTGATGCTGTCTTTTAACAGATCTCTCACGTGGCTCTTTCTGGGCTGAGGAATTGGACTGCTCCTGCCTCCCTTAGGAGTGTGATGCTTGCCAGACAGTTTAAAGC